TTATAATATAGCATTTGTAAATTCTGAACGCTGATTGGCTAAGAGCCGTGTTGATATAACTCAATGTCAACACGGGAAATTTTCCGCTGCTTGTAAACACGGAAATTTTTCTTATCCTTCGGGCTTTTGACATTGCTATATTATAAAAAAAATATAAAACATTTTTTCCGTATTGATATATAGTTATATCAACACTCGTGCAAGTTGGGAAAACTCGAAATTGTATGAAAACACTCCGCCCTTCGGGCGTCGTGTTTCCATACAATTTCTCGTTTTCCCAATTCCACTCGTGTTGATATAACTGTATATCAACACGGAAAATGTTTTATATTTGTTAAATATTAACCAATGCATGCGTCCAAAGCGGAAGCATGCATATATTGGTTAAAAAAACATGGCCATAACCACGTTTTAACGAATTTTGAAGGTTCGAGAAATCAGATAATCTGACAGCTTTCAGCTCGCTCATGAATTATTGATCGGTTTGACTGTGGAAAACATTGTGGTTAATCCGGCACGTACACAAAGTTTGTCGGGCTTAAGGGATCAAGAGTACTATTTTCACTTTATTAATCAACATTGTATTACAAAGGGTCAGAAAAGGTGAAATGATACATCAATGCATGCAATAAAATTAGTTTTATTTTTACTGAAGCCGGTAAAGCATATTGACTATTGCATTTAACTTGTGATAATTTCGCGTACCTTTGTTATCAATCATTTCACTTGCATTCCTTGTGAAGTATGCTCCTACAACGGATGAAAAATCAAATCATAAAAATCCACCACCCAAAAGCAACGACAATACCAAAAACAACAACAATTTTTATTTATAGCTGTAGCAACAAATAATGGTGATTCCGCGATAGCATGAATTACACGATCGAGGCAATTTTCTTTGATTTTCGTGTAGATTAAAATACGTGTCCCTGAATTAACTGGAGTTATAATTATATAGATAAGATACAAACTTTTTAAGGGAAACCTGCATACGCTTACTTCTAATTAAGGCCCTATATGGGGAAGGTAAGCACACGCTTACCAGTAAGCTTAACTTATAATCTTAAGGCTTGTTTACACTTGCAATTTTTGCTGCGATTTTCTTCTTCTGATGGATGTGAACGAGTGGATGAGTTATGAATGTTCAGATTAGGGTACACGTGCATCAGAAGGAGAACATCGAACAAGATATATAATATCTTGTAGTTACATAATTATTACTAAAATTTCAACTATACTTATACAATATTTATTATTCATGGCAAATAATTCAAGAGTTTTGATTGGCTAAGAGCTGTCGGTGAAATCGTCATATCCGCTCGGTTGACGCACAGTTATTAACTGTGGTTAACGTAATTTCGTGGTATTCCGAACACTATATATTGTTGTTGTTCCATTTTCAGCAGCTTGGCGTCTTCTTCAGTCAGGAATGTTTACAAATAAATAATAAAACAACTATTGAATTCGGTTCTCGCGGGATATGACACAATGCTCCTCAGCCTTGCCGGTGTCAGTAAAACTCCAACCTCGTCCCCATGCTCCATTAGACAGTTTTAGATAACACGACGCGACGTCAAAGAGGACACGAGATTACGCAACATGGCGTGTATTTTGTTATTTTTACTTCCGGTTAAAAATCGCGACGTCGTCTTTGTTGATTTCACGACGTGAAACCTCACGAAGACGCCACTTTTTTGTGGATTTTAGAAATTATATTTTAGTTTAAAGGTAAGTTTTATTGTTTGTAATACTTTTAGACATAGGGAATTTTTGTTTAAAAACTTAAATGATCCTTTGAAAGTAATTTTTAAACGCTAAAGCTAGTTTGTTTTGCTGCTATATTTTTAGGGAAAAAACTACATGACTACAACATTGTAACTTGGTTTTGTAAGCATGTTTGTCAGTTCTTAGTTTGAGATTATGGAGCTTGAGATTTTGGAAAAAGTTATTTTTATATTATGGCAACAATAATAACTTCCCCTTAACTTACAGATCTAAGAAAAAACATACAATCTTTTATTTTTTGCTTTACATATAACATAAAAATATCACAAAAATATAATATCCAATTATCCATCTAAAAACTATTATAGATGAATGATATATACAGTACAGTACCTATGAAAAATAAAAGATGTGATATATATTTTATTTTACTTCAGCATAGTATGAAGAGTGAGCTGCTGGTAACAGAGACAAAGAAAAAGTAAGAAATTTTGAACAGGCAATTCTAATGCTGTAATTTTATGGAGAGTAGTTTTTATATTGACTGATCACTAGTATATTAAAATGTAATACAAAGTGGGTGGGTAGATGATATGAGGGCACAAGGCACATTCCGGCCCAGACATACAGTATCAACACAATCATCCCTTTTCATAACAAGTAAAATCTGTCTGGTATTAGGCAGAGAAGAAGCATTATAAAGAAGTGATGTAATAAACCCATGTAAACTATGTAATATTAATAATATTACAAAATTAGGGCATGAGTGGTGCTTTAAACTTCTTTACATATTTAAAATTGTAGGGATGTGGTAATAGTGTGGAATGAGAAAAATGATCTCATCATGTTGCGTGAAGTCGCTGCAGACGGGTTACTTCAACACAAGGCTGGGTCTCGAGAGAGAGGAGCCGGATGGCAAGCTGTTGCAAATAACTTAAGTAGCAGCTTGACGTCTGGCTCTGAAGTAACATCAAGAGCGGTTCGCGACCATTTTACCATAATTGCAAAGAGGCATCAAGCCAAAGTTGCAAAAGAAAAGAGGGGAACTGGTTTAAGAGGAAAAGAACTGACAGAAAGAGAAGCATTGTTGGAAGAATTGGTTGATATTCGTGATGAGACTGAGAAGAGAGTAGAAGAAGAAGCTGGTGTAAGGAGAGGGAATGCTGAAGCAGAAAGATTACAAGCATTGGAAATGAGGGAGAGAGCAATGGAAAGATATGGAAAGACTAGGCAGAGATTGCAAGGTGGGTGGCATACATGATCACTCCACACTAGAGCTGGCAGAGCACCCCCTCCACCACCAGATCATGGTATTTTACCCCTGGTATTTTACAAGATGACCTTTACATCTCTGGTATTTTACAAGATAACTTTTACAACATACGCCAACATGATTCTCTATATACACAATCACCAAAAATGTTCATCTAATGTTGGTGGTAAAAGTTCAAAAAAGGATAAAACAATGTTCTATAACAATCACCAAAAATATTCATCTAATGTTGGTGGTGAAAGTTCAAAAAAGGATGAAACAATGTTACCATAAAGGCAGGTACGAGCATTCTCAAGCAAAGCACAAATATAATATATCTTACCAACAGCACTAAGATTGAGTTTGGTCTGCCTTTTAAAGTCAACAAAACTAAAGAACTTTGTGATAATTCCAAACATCCATTCCACAGCAATTCTAACTTCACTCATTCCATTGTTGAAATCTCTCATTTGGGGTGTGAGCTGTGCATCCTTTAATGGTTCTTGTAGGTAAACCCCTAAAGGATATGCTGGGTCGCCGTAGATACAGAGAGGCTCGTTGTCATAAAAAGCAACACGCCTAAGGGTGGGTAACAAACCAGACTCATTCAACATCGTACTGTCGTGTCGTTTGCCTTCATATGGGCCAGACAGATTAGAAATTAATCCATTTGGTAGAACGACACTCAGAAATTTCATTGAATGAACCCGTTTGTGACCATTGTACATGATCCGTTGGTGGTATTTTGGTCTGGCTATTCTACGTACGTACAGTCGCATCGACAAACCCAAAACAATTATGAAGAGGAGCACCATGTAGTTGTGAAGATGGTCTGCAGAAAGGAAAGGCTGATCCCAACTCTTAAGGCGATGCTGGTGGGTGTCGTAGACAATGTCAACTACTTTGTTGAAAATAAGGCACAACTCTGTTGGGTTTCGACCAAATCGACGAGTCATATCTATGTACCTGCACGGGTATGCCAATCTTTTAAGCAGAATACACAAGCTTTCCATACCATCACACACCGTACCTTGTTCACAAACTATTCGCTCAGGAATTTGGAGATATCTCATCAACAAGGGAAATCATTTTTATCAAAACGTAACTCGATCCGTGCGACACTCGACCTCATCCCAAGTTTGGAAATCAAATTCTTCATATTTCCAATACGGATAAATTGATTTCGACAGGTTGTAATCAAATAGTAACGCAAATTCTACGTCGTCTATCAAATGATCCGCATATGCAAACGTTAAAGCATCACGGGCAGCTTGAAAACCACGAACAGCCATGTTTTTGCTGTCGTTATAACTTATATCATCATTCAATATATAGCATAATATAAAATTCAAAAAATACTTACTGTAAAAATCACGACATCATGACGATAGCGGTAAAGAATTTAACGGAAATACTTTATTTTGTTTGACCATCAATTTACAATGATAAAAAATAAAATAAGATTACATAATATTGTCTAGAAATTTTATCAAATGCTCGAAAGTTCGTGTATTCAAATTTCAAACACATTTACAAACTATTCCGTCCGACTTCAGGACTTTTCGTTGTTCTACGGAAACAGAGATATTTATCTGATTAAAAAATTCTTTAAAATTGCCTTGACTGATCAGCAAAGTCTTTATTTAAATTCGAGAACACAAAACAACACCGTCCTCGCAAATCTAAATCACATTTCATTCATAACGCGACGGCGTCCTATTTCCAGTCATTTCCTCGGCCAATCACGTTCTCGTCGACGTCGCGTCGTGTTATCTAAAACTGTCTATTGTGTTTTTCATGGCGACGCAAGGCGTGCAGCGTCTTCGCGCTTTCGCATCTTTCCGCCTTGCGTGTTTCGCGCGCGCACTCCCACGAAATAAGCCCACCAAGTAATTCGAAGCCCCCGGGAACGAGGCTGGTTAAATTTAAACTGTATAACCAACACTCCATGTAGGTTGACATCAGATTACTTCGTCTGTATTTTTTAGAAAAAGCTGCAAGGTCGACATACTTCGGCATGATACTAAAGATATATATTTAAAATTTGTAGCATGCACTACAGTATTATAGACGTTTACTACATGATTAGTTACTTTTCTTCTCATATATACCTGCATTTTCGGAACTAATGCCAAGACTTGGAATGATGTTGGCTATCTGAGTGATTGCTAGCAGAAAAATATAATTTTATATTGATAAGTCAAAAGTGCTATATATATATATAAAAATGTAAATTGGAAAGAATATAATTGATAAAATTTCTAAATAAATATTCAACAGGAATGTTATCCTCCAAACTCTTTTGTGTAAAACTACTATATTTTAATCATCGTACTTTAACCTATAGTTAGGGAGTGCTCATTATTTATTATACAGAGGGACCTGAGGAGATTTAATATTTTTTACAACAGCCCCTTTTAAAGACAGCTAAAATTTTCAAAGCCACTCCCACCTCTAAGGAGAGCAAAATATATTCTGAATCCCCCACCCCGACCCTAACTTTCTATTTTATTACAAAACAAACGAATCGTAGGCTAAAGAGTAATGCACCATTAGATGTTTTTACACATGGTAGTCTTTTCAGAACATGAAACAAATTTTAATTTATATGGCAAATGTTTATGCAATGTTTTGGAGAGTGTCTCTTATGAACCTGGTGGCAGTTCTGGCAGATCGTAAGTTACTTTTTTAAATCACTGCTTGGATCCGAAATGGATGTACAAGAGGTTCAGATAATGACACATTAGAAATTTCTTCCTGCACTTCAGAAAATTATTTATCAAAGACAGTTCATTTGAGGATATTGCGGATAATTTTCTTAAATAAACAATGTACAATGTGTGTAAAATACTTAAATAAACAATGTACTGTGTGTAAGATTTTCATGTTGAAGTACTATCACTTTTTTTTGTCAAAAGTGATCTGCATTGTTTTAAATTACCTGTCTTAAATTAAGCTCCCCCAGTTTCTCCTCAGGCCTCCTCTGTATAATAAATAATGACCAGTCCTGGTACTTTTCCCAGCCTTATTTCTTTTTCCGTCCGTCCGTCCGTCCGTCCGTCCGTCCGTCCGTCCGTCTGTCTGTCTGCTCGTCTTCCATAACAATTGTGATATCACTTTCCTAATTAATATATATTTATCCCAACCCATGCACCCTGTCAACTTCATATAATACAGTCTGAGACTCTGAGTCGACCAACAATATACTTATGCAGACCGCGAGCATAAACTCTGCGTACCATTTAAAACATGAGCAGCAGTGTTTTATCAGATATAGAGTATCTTTAGGTCTGATGAAACACGCACTACGACAGTTTTAAATTGCTTCAAAAACGATCGATCTAGTAAGTTCATTGGCGAAGTATAATTTTCCAAAAATACGTTGTGTATGTACTAGTCGAGAAATCAAAGTTAAAGTTTGTGTGAATCAAGGGAAATCTCTATCACATATAAAGATACGACACGCTTATGATTCTCCTTCGTGTTTTCCTCATGAATTATTTAATGCGTTTTTGAATGTCATGTCAAACATTTTCTATATGTTTCCGTACGTACCTGTAAAATAAGTCGTACTGATGACATTTTGCTGTTTAGATCCATTAATTATTGTGTTTGTTTCGCTTTCTAAAATAAATTGAAATTTTCAGTTATATATATAGACTGCATATATATATATATACTGTATATATATATATATATATATATATATATATATATATATATATATATATATATATATATATATATATATATATATATATATATATATATATATATATATATACTGAAGACTATATTCAAATAATCGATGAGTTGACGTAAGGTAGAAGAGCGCTCAATACCATAATAAGTAGGGCGGAATTAATTCAGTCAAGGTTTGAATGTTTGCGTCGCTACTCTGAGTTTCACGCTTTACGCGATCATCAGGCAACTGACAGATATAATTCAATATTCATAATAAATATAGGTTATCATTTTACAACTTGATTAAGCAGGTATCTGGTTACATGTCTACATTTGGAAAACAAGTCAGAGCGTTTGTTCAGGCATTCAGTTTTCTTCGCTTTCCTAATAAGTAGTTTCTCCTCCAGGCATAAATTACACCGTTTAGATCCTGGTTTGTATGCTTTGACTTTCTTCATAATGGACCACTTTATTGTATACTGACTTTTTTCTGACTTCAGTTTCCAGACGTACTTGGACAGTTCGGTGTTGCTCTTGTATTCCTCATGTCGGAAAGACTTAGTGTGATTGCGGTATCTTGTTTTAAAATCGCCCGCCGTCATGCCAATGTATATTTTCTTTTCCTGGTTGTTGGCAGTGCTGGTTGTCACTTCGGCTTTGTATACGATCCTCTCAGTAAGACATTTTTTACCAAGTGGACAGTTGGCGGGCTTTTGGCAGTTGCACATTGGCGTGTCGTTTTTTGTAGGTGTTGGGATTACCGTTGGCATGGATGATTGTATTACCCTAGCAGTTGGCGTTCGTTTTGTGTTTCGGTTGAGTATTTTACGATTATGTTTGCGAATGAGATTTTTTATGTTTGTCATGCAACTGTAACTAACACGGACTGTGTAACGGTTGAAAAGTTTGTGCAGTTTGTTTGAGGGAGGAAAATGCTTGTCAATTAGGTTTAGGAATGTCTGTGTTACATTGGTCTTAACGTTCTTGCTATAAGGAGGGTTGTACCATGTAATGTTTCGTTGTCTGTTTCGTTTATCGGAGTTATTAGTGTTGTTTTGAGTTTGTGTGTACGTTAGGTTAACGTCAAAGTTGCTTTGCTTGAGAGCGTTGTTGTAAAGTGGTACTGCTGCGTTGAATGTTTCTTCGTCACATGATAGTTTGTTAATGCGTTTGTTGACTGAGTGTGGAAGCTGTCGTGTGATGGAAGGTGGATGGTTTGATAATCTGTTTATGTACAGTGGTTCGTCATTAGGTTTTCGGTATGGTTTATATTTACCGTTTGATAGGTCAAGCGTCAGGTCAAGGAAGACACACAACATGTATGAAATGCACGCGGACAAATACAACAAATTGTTGACTGAGAACATCACCAAAACCTACAAATTGGCACAAGACGGAACAGTTGACAAAATTAACCACGAACTTAAAAATATCGCCAACGAATTAAACATCGGAAACCGCATGGAACCAGCAACCCAACCGCCGGCGTTTATTTCACTAAAAGATCACAAGGACGGCTTCGAAAACCATCCAAAGTGCCGATTGATAAACCCGGCGAAATCTGATCTCGGCAAAGTTAGCAAAACCATCTTGGACAAAATCAATACTGAAATCCGCTGACAAACTTGTGCAAACCAGTGGAGAAACTCTGAGGACACAATCACTTGGTTTGACTCACTAACTAACAAGGACAGACTGTCTTTCCTATCTTTCGATATAGTCGAATTTTACCCGTCCATAACTGAAAGTCTACTCGACCGTGCAATCGCATGGAGCCAACAATTCATCGCAATTTCCGACAGCGATATCCGCATTGTGAAGCACGCGCGCAAATCCCTTCTTTTTTACAACCAACAAGCTTGGACGAAGAAGAACACCACCACCACGTTTGACGTGATCATGGGAAGTTTCGATGGCGCTGAGGTCTGTGAACTCGTCGGACTTTTCATTCTGAACACACTCGAGAAACGCTTTGGGAAAGACGTAGGCCTATACCGTGACGACGGCTTGGCTGCCCTCAGAACAACATCAGGCAGACTTGCGGACAAGGCGAGGAAAGAGTTGATCACCATTTTTGAGAGCTTTGGCCTCAGAATCACCGCCCAGACAAACATCAAGTGCGTGAACTTCCTTGACCTGACGCTTGACCTATCAAACGGTAAATATAAACCATACCGAAAACCTAATGACGAACCACTGCACATAAACAGATTATCAAACCATCCACCTTCCATCACACGACAACTTCCACACTCAGTCAACAAACGCATTAACAAACTATCATGTGACGAAGAAGCATTCAACGCAGCAGCACCACTTTACAACAACGCTCTCAAGCAAAGCAACTTTGACGTTAACCTAACGTACACACAAACTCAAAACAACACTAATAACTCTGATAAACGAAACAGACAACGAAACATTACATGGTACAACCCCCCTTATAGCAAGAACGTTAAGACCAATGTAGCACAGACATTCCTAAACCTAATTGACAAGCATTTTCCTCCCTCAAACAAACTGCACAAACTTTTCAACCGCCACACAGTCCGTGTTAGTTACAGTTGCATGACAAACATGAAAAATCTCATCCGTAAACATAATCGTAAAATACTCAACCGAAACACAAAACGAACGGCAACTGCTAGGGTAATACAATCATCCATACCAACGGCAATACCAACACCTACAAAAAACGACACGCCAATGTGCAACTGCCAAAAACCAGCCAACTGTCCACTTGGTAAAAAATGTCTTACTGAGAGCATCGTATACAAAGCCGAAGTGACAGCCAGCACTGCCAACAACCAGGAAAAGAAAATATACATTGGCATGACGGCGGGCGATTTCAAAATAAGATACCGCAATCACACTAAGTCTTTCCGACATGAGGAATACAAGAGCAACACCGAACTGTCCAAGTACGTCTGGAAACTGAAGTCAGAAAAAAGTCAGTATACAATAAAGTGGTCCATTATGAAGAAAGTCAAAGCATACAAACCAGGATCTAAACGGTGTAATTTATGCCTGGAGGAGAAACTACTTATTAGGAAAGCGAAGAAAACTGAATGCCTGAACAAACGCTCTGACTTGTTTTCCAAATGTAGACATGTAACCAGATACCTGCTTAATCAAGTTGTAAAATGATAACCTATATTTTTTATGAATATTGAATAATATCTGTCAGTTGCCTGATGATCGCGTAAAGCGTGAAACTCAGAGTAGCGACGCAAACATTCAAACCTTGACTGAATTATATATATATATATATATATATATATATATATATATATATATATATATATATATATATATATATATATATATATACCGCGGAAAGGAGGGACCGGAAGTGGAGTCAGGAATTGTACAGATATTGTCGTATCAAAAAAAGTACCTGGCTTTGTTCCTGCTGGTGTTGGATTAACTGCCTTTGCTTTTCTATAACAAGAAAGTGCATTATATTATTCCTTTTAGATCCAGTGCCGGGTTACCCTGGATTCCAGAGCCTTCGACAGTAAATAATAAATTGAATCAAAGAATCTTCCCGTTGAACAAGAGCCTTCGCGACGTTTCACTTTATTATTTACTGTCGAAGGCTCTGGAATCCAGGGTGGTGCTGGGTTCGCTAAATATACAACGGGAATAGACACTATGAATTCATACAACAGATAAATACGCCCAGTTTATTGTATCCCAACTTTAATTTTATAGTGTTCGTAAAACTTTAAGTTCCAGTATAATCCTGCATCAAATTAATATAATTATGACAGGTCAATAAAAAGTTGTAACAGTCAATATACTTAATTATTTCTTGTTAATCCCCGAGCCGACGGCACGAAGCGCCGTGCGAGGGTACTAATTCCCCCCCCCCCGGCTATTTACACCCGGGGAAACGAAAGCATTAGCGAGGTCTAAAGTTCATCAATTATCGCGGGCGCTCACCAACGGTGTTGAGTGGGTGGTCATCACCGATCTCAAAATATGGCGCTGTTTGCCAGGAGTGAAAAGGCAAAAAATATAAAAAGATACATCTAAGAAAGCTTGAAAAATCGTTTCACATAACAAATTGTACAACTTTTTTGCAATTTTTAAACGTAAACAATGATAAGAATTGATATTGTATGATAAATCCTAAAGTATAGGGCAAGTTTGTTTCAAGTGTTTATGTATGACTTTGTATTTAATAATATAGACTTTTTGTTCTTGATGTTTAAGTCTTTCCTATGCATTGTTTGCGAAAGTTTCTTAGTGTTAGCGTCCTGTACGAATTAAATTTGTTTCATTTCAAAGTGCGAGTAATAAGTTGAAGCTCGAGTTGAGACGTTTATAAATATCGGCAAGAAGTAGTTAATTTCAATTCACATTGAAAAACGTTTCACGTAGAGTTTCGTTTTGAATTTTACATTAAAATAAAGCCCATAAAAACCAAAATATTATACCTACTTTATATATTTTAGAAATTGATAGTTCTGTATTTAAAAGTGTTCAAATTTCATCTATTTTTTCCCGGTTTGTACAAAAAATCAAAAAGAATTTCGTGTTGCCATGACTAACATGACGTGGCAACGCGACCCTGCGTTCAGTGTTGGCGTAATTATGAATACTTCATGTTGAAACGATGTTTGGAAAATATAGGCGAGGGGTTGTTGCATGCAAGTATTTCTAGTTACTAAATAATGCAATGCCATGCATGCTTTCGCTAAATCGTCGTTCGTTATCCAAGGGCGAGTTCTGCATGGAATACGAAAGTTGGAATTTAAATGTTTTAGTTGCATTTACCCATGCACAGGTGCAGCTGCGAAAAATGCAACTGCAGGCCCTCTGGCTGGAATCGAACCTGTGGGTCATGCGAATCTGCTGCAGCGCTCTAACCTGCGTAGCCCCAGAGTCCAGTTGTATAGAGCTCTAACCACAAGTTCATGTATAAACACTAAGCTGACGTCAGGACTTGATATATTGGTAAATATTTCAGGATTTTTGGGTGTCTGTAATAACTTGCTGGTTTGATTAAAACTTTATTAACTATACATGAATATTTAAATAAATTATAACATTCCTCCACTCTCAGATCGGAAAAAAGATCCTAATGTCTTTAATTAATTTTTTTCTATATTTCTTGTCAAAGTATATAAATTAGCTAAGTATAAATGTTTCCAAATCTACTGAAATGTACATCCTAATATTGAACTTCAAAAGTACAGTACATCCTAATATTGAACTTCATAATCTACTAAATGTTTAGGTCTTTGACGAATTCGTGTAGAACGTCTCTTTTGCGGACTAAACTCGGTTGGTTGTCTCACTTCTTCCGAGATAGACGGTTGTGCTGCTGCAGGTGACTGTGGTGCTGGGCTCCGGGGAATATCATTAGAAACTAAGGGTGTCTCCAGGGGAACGATCTCCTGACTTCCACTGTCCACTTGTGGGGTTAGATCCTGATCAGTACGAATTCTGATATGATCTTGATGTCTTCGCATTATTTCACCAGTGCTCAGCCTCACTCTAGCAGAAACAGGACCAGTTTTCTCAACCACAGTTCCCGACATCCAAGATTTTGGACACCTGAAATCTTTGATATAAACAGTGTCATCCACTTGTATCTCCCGATGTTTAGCATGGTAATCATGGGATGATTTTTGTTGTGTTTGCTTTTCCAGGACTCGGTCACTAACGTTTGGATGGAGTAGGTCCAAATGAGTGTGTAGTTTTCGATTCATCATCAACTGAGCCGGTGGAACTTCCGTAGTGGAATGTGGGGTGATACGATACTTGAGAAGAAATCTAGCCAGCTTGGTTTTTAGACTTCCTCCCTCCATTTTCGCTATTCCTTCCTTGAATACACGAACTGCCCGCTCTGCTTGACCGTTAGAGGCGGGATGAAACGGTGATACTTTAATATGTTTAATGCCATTCTGACTCATAAACTACTCAAATTCACCGCTTGAAAAGTTAGTCCCATTGTCACTCACGACTGTCTTGGGTAATCCATGGGTCGCAAAGATTTCTCTTAACTTTTCAATTGTAGCTGCAGAAGTAGTTGATTTCATCACGTGTATTTCCAGCCACTTTGAATAGGCGTCTATTAGCACAAAGAACATTTCTCCTTTGTACGGTCCAGCATAATCTATATGAACTCGTGACCATGGCTGGCCTGGTCATTCCCAGGGATGCAGTGGTGCCTCTGCTGCTGTCTTCTGATTCTGCTGACATCTTCCACACTGCTTCACCTGTTCTTCAATTTCTTGGTCTAGTCCCGGCCACCAAACATAACTAAGAGCCAAAGATTTAGTTCTGGAAATTCCTGGATGAGCCTCGTACAATACCGCTGACACCTGTGCTCTACCTTTCGGAGGTACAATTACTCTTGTTCCCCATAACAGGCAGCCATCTTCCACACTTATTTCTGTTCTCCGATTGAAATAAGGTAGTAATTCTTTGCTAGGACAGGTAATGTTCGGCCAATTTCCAAGGGCATACTGATGAACCTTGGAAAGTACTGGATCTCGTCCTGTCCAATCACGAATTTGGCCAGAATGCAAAGGAATTGCTTCCAGAAGTTCCATGAGCTTTATAGTGTCTCCGGGTATGGGCGTTTCCTCCAGCATTTCTGGGAGTGGTAATCGACTTAATGCATCAGCATTCCCGTTCATTGTTCCTGCTTTATACTGTA